AAAATATATAATAAGGATTTATTTTAATAAATTTAAGGATGCCAAAAGCAAAAATATCTCCTTCTATTTTGTCGGGTGACTTTGCTCAACTCGCTGTTGAATCTCAACGTATGATAAATGAGGGTGCAGATTGGTTGCATATTGGTATGTTATTGTTTATACTGTTCTCTATACTACAGGGTGTAAACTTTGTTATAACCTGGTTTTTTTTTAATACATAAAAAAATCGCCTCTGAGCCTTAACTGGTGACGTAATAAGTCTGCACCTCTGCAGTATACTTTTAATAATGATAGAATGATTAATTAAAATTCTTTACTTTTAAATCGTAATTGTAGATGTTATGGACGGGTATGCATCGAAACTATGTAATAAAAAAAAAAAAAAAAACATTTAAAAGCTTTTTTTTTTTTATAGAATTTATATATTTTGAAAAATTTTATTTAAATAATTGAAATTTTTAGACATTTTGTCCCGAATCTTACTATTGGTGCTCCAGTTGTTCGATCTTTGCGCAATCATACAGATGCTTTTTTTGGTAACGTGCGTGAACCCTTAACTTTGGGGGTCAAATTATTTAGTTTGTGTCTTAATTAATTATAGTATTTTTAAAATTCATGTAGATTGCCATTTAATGGTATCAAATCCCGAAAAGGTTTGTTTTTAATAATTATCAAAAATATAAATTAATCTAGTTAAAAAAAAAAAAAAATTATTTTAATATCATGATATATATTAATTTACATATTGTATAATTATTTGTTTAAAAAAAGTGGGTTAAAGATTTTGCAGAAGCTGGTGCATCATTGTTCTGTTTTCATATAGAAGCATCACCAAATCCTGAGTCACTGATTGAAGAAATTCGTAAGACTGGAATGAAAGTTGGTATTGCGGTTAAACCTAAAACACCTATTGATGTTATATTTCCTTTGGGTAATATAATTGATATGTGCTTGGTAATGACTGTTGAACCTGGTTTTGGTGGTCAAAAGTTTATGGAGGAATGCATGCCAAAGGTATTTATAATTATATCTAGGTTTTTAACATATTTCATATTATATCTGTTAGTTTATTGATAGATCAGAACTTTTATTTAAATATATATATATATATATGCATGCCAAAATGGTAATAATTATATGATTTTAATTTTATAGGTTAAAGCATTACGAGAAAGATTTCCAACTTTAGATATAGAAGTAGATGGAGGTTTAGCACTTGATACAATTGATCAAGCATCTAAAGCTGGTGCAAATGTAATTGTTGCTGGTACATCTATTTTCAAATCTAATAACCCTAAAGAAGTAATTAACACATTTAGACTTAAAGTTGATGCTGAGCAAGCTAAATATTCGATATCTGTGACATAATATTTTTTAAAGCTTTGAAGAAAAAAAAAAAAAAATGCATATAATTTATTAAATAAAAGATTCTTTACAAGAAATGATAATTTTTTAAAGTAGATAAAATGAGTTTAAAATGGTAGAGATCTGTAATGGTTGGGGTCGATAACACTAAAACAATGCCTAAAAATCATAATTGATTCCCAGAAATGAAAATTATTTTGGTTTTATTGTCGGATTTTCTAAATGTTGATGTATATCATAACGAAATTCAGAATTTTATTACTTTAATGGTTGAATCGACCTGATATTTAATAGATACAGGCTGAGAGGAATCTACAACCCAATGATATTTAATATATTTAATATCAATTGATCAATGATATTTAATATATTTAATATCTAATTGATCAATGATATTTAATATATTTAATATTAATTGATCAATATATTTAATATTAATTGACCAATGATATTTAATATATTTAATATCAATTGATTTTTTGATTATCTTATAAAATATGGGCAGAAAAATTTAATTTTAGTGATTATTTAAATTGAATCTAAGACAATAAGATATAAAACATGATGTGATTACTGAGATTAAAAGTGGATTAAAAGTGATTATTTGATCAGTGATCGTAAAATTGCTTATTAATCGCTTACGAGTTGCTTATGAGTTGCTTATGAGTTTTTATATCCCATTTATAAGTAGTGCTTATAAGTAATGCTCCGAAAAGATTAACTAGAATACCCCAAAAACTAACCTGAACCAGATCAATTTCGGATCATTTGAGTTAAGCTGTTTATGAGTAATCCAACTAAAAATTTCCGCTATATGTTTCAAAAAACGAAAAAGGTAAATTTAAAAAATTGTAAAGATTTAATTTAATATTAGTTTTAAAAAATTTCTTAGGAATTATAATTTCATAATACTTAAAAAAACTATTTTTTTTATACACGTTTAGAAACCCTATATTTAAGAGTACGTTCATTTAAAAAAGTTAATTTATCTTCGGGAAATTACTTTCAAATTGAGTTTACCAAACGTAGTCAAATTGATATTCTTCTAGGGTTATCAACATTTTCCATCGGAGATTTATATAAATCAAGCATATTTTTTATGTAACATTTAAAACAAAATAAAAATGAACAAAATGATTAACAATACTTACCATGCAAGTCGATTTAATAATGTTATTCATCTTAAGCAAGACGTTAAAAAGATTTTCGGAGCTCTTCAATACAAAATTTCATAGTGAAACAAAGAATTGAAATTCATTACCATATTATTTTTAATCCTGTATTGATTGTCTTTTATTATCTATGTTTTAAAGTATATAAAAAATTATTGTAATATTTTATGCTTAAAAATTAATTGTGTCGCATAAATTTAATAAAGACGCGTTTAAACACGTAAATATTGATGAACCATGCACTTTATACTTGTAATGGTGAAAATTTCACGTGAGTATTTTAATAATAGAGATTGGACTCGTTGAGAAAAATCTTTACCAGTGTATTATTAAATTATTCGGGTTATTATATATCTCGGGTTATTATTTTACCCTTAGTATTTTATTATCGTACTCGCGTTCCATACTGAGAATACAGAAATAACGCGATACTTTTTTTGGTAAATTATAACGTTGATTTATATAAAATTTATGAATTTATAAAATATTTCTGAACTTTAAACTTAATAATCAATTTTGATAATTTAGTACTTATTTGAATTCTAACAACTTATAAAATTAAAATGAGTACTAAATTAACAAAATTGATTATTAGGAAATATTTCACTCTAAATATTTAGTCAAATTATAGTTATTATAAGAATAATTTGTTAATAGATTCAAAATTTACGATAATTCAAAATTTTTAATTTTTTAAAATATTTAAATTATATACGGTAGGATGATAAATGTTTTATAATAAGGAATTCAAGTTTTTAATTTTGTTTAAAAACATGTATGATAAAAACTATATCAGGTATTTAGAGATTTAAACGGTGCATGTATACTTAAAATATAACGCGCGTTATGGCATTACGGCGTTACGTTATGAATTGTTATGTACGTTAGTCGTTAGTACATAAAAATTAAGCAATTTTGGTAAAAAATTATCTAATAAATAATAATAATAATAATAAATTAATAATACGTAACAAATAATTTTTAATGCGGGGAGTATGTATTCATGTATTTCGCAATACATTATTATATCCCTTAAATTTTTTTTCATACCTGAAAAAGATCGAGATTTTTGTTGACTAACACGTGGATGATTTAAAATTTCCCTATTTAAAACATGTATACAGTATAATACCAAAAACGTCAATTTTATTGATACATCTCAAAATTTAGTAAAAAAGAATCAAACCTATTTTTAATCAAAAATAGATAAAAATTGATTTTTAATAATAGAAATATGTATTTCAGGGTGAATTTTATTAATTAAAAAATGATAAAAGGTTTGCTTACAAATATTACGCGAGAGAAAATTATTACTATAAATTTAATGTATATTTTAAAAAATAATAATGAATAAAGTAATTTTGGGTAAAATGTTTAACATTAGTAGTAGTACATACATGTTACGAAATTAATTTAAATAATTAAAAACCATTTTTAAATTTCTTTCAATTACTAAAAAATATAAACATTAGTAATCATTATTCCTTTTTATTCAATAATAATAATAATAATAATATACTCATTAAGGTATATTTTTTCTTTCCTATTTATTTTTTATTTCCATTTTCTTTTAATAATTCCGTAATTCGTCATAACATTCTATAATACAAATGTATGACTATAATTTTGTTTTTAGAATTTTAACTTATAATAAATGTCACACTGATTTTTAAAAGATAAACCACAAGAAAAAAGATTACAGATTACGCATAAATGAAATTGATGTAAATCCAGTATTCCAAACATGGAAAAGAAGAAGGTTTTTTTTTAAACAAATGAAGAAGATAAGTTAGTTCAATTGAATCTTTTTATTTCACTTCAATGCAAGAGATCGTGCACATTACTGCTGGCCGCTTATGAGATTTCCATACAGCATACCAAACACAGGTAATAATCCTATTAATGGTTTATTGTTTTTAGCCAACTTTGTAAAATAATACATGAGATGTATAATAGGTTTTATTAATTATTTGGTTTCTTTTTTTACATGAAAAAAAAAAACTTGATATCTGTAAAAAGAAGTTAAAGATAAGTATTAAATGTAATACTGTAATAATGCTGCTTGCTGTAACTGTACAATGTTACAATTAATAAATACTAACGATTTTAAATCATTTAAATTCGTGACATCATTCATCATCCAAAGTTATCGTTATCGTTATGTCATTCATGTTATTCACGTCATTCACGTCACCTTTTTGCAAAATAACTCTAATCACGTGTTAATAATAGAGACCCACCCCCATGTAAAGGTTTATAATTGATATTTCATCTATACTAATTAAAGTATCTCTTATTATCGATTATCGGTAATTACCTATTTATATTGATATTACTAATCTCACTAATCAGTTTGAGAACAATTTCGGAAGAAAAAAAAATTGACCAAGTTTTGAAAAGTAAAAAATTTTTTTGGTATTAGGTATCATAAAAAAAAAAAAATAATAATCTAGATAAAAAGAATAGCCGAAAGTGATGTATGACGAGATTCAGCAAATAAATAAAATGAATACTAAAAAAAAAAAAAAAAAATTCGTAATTGTTTATTATTATTATTGTTGAATAACCTTGGCACAAAAAAAAACTGATTGCCGTGTTAAATTATGAAACTCGCGTTATTCCGTTATTCTTAATCTTTTTGTTTATATGCTTCGTTGTTCAAATTTTCCTTTTTTTAATAAATTTTTTATTACTATTATTATTATTATGATTTATTATTGTTATTATTATTATTATCATCTTTATAATTATTAAATTAGATACGTATTATCTTAGCTAGATTAATATTATTCATTCTACAAAATTTCTTTATCCGATAGTAAACACAAAAAAAAAAAAAAAAAGAAAAAGAGTAAACATATAATTGGCTAATCACATTTGGAATTTTTAAACCACTCATCATATAGTAACGATAGGCGTTCTTATTTTAATCAAATAAATGAAGTTTATTTATTAAGTTTCGTGTTACGATAATTTCAACTTTTGTGGTTAATTTAGAAGAGTCCGGGTACTCTCCGTTATCAGTTAAAATCGGTAAATTTTTATTGAACTTTATGGAAAAAAAAAACGCCTACGGCTAACGAATATTTTTTGTAGGTCGTTTTTTTTTTAAAAAAAAAAAAAATAGTATTCTCCGGTATAATTCAGCGATTATAAAAAAAAAAAAAAAAAATCGATAAGATTTAATTACTTTGTATCAGAAAATTTCTGATAGAGTAAATGATTTTATGATTAAGGAATAACTTGTTTAGGTTTTGAAGATTGTGAATTTTTCCATCATAAAAATTTTTATTGTTTACATACATGGTTCTTTGGCTTGTTCTGGCGTTTGACCATAAACGAACGATAAAATAATATAAGAATAGAATTGAATGTGAAAATGTGAAAATTTGATGTGTGATAATTTATAATTGTAATTATTAAAAATAAAAATAAATTAAAAATAAAAAATATATATATATATATCAAAACGATGATTATTTTAATGGTTTAGGGGATCTCGAAAATACGGTAGTAGTTATCCAAGGACCATAATGATATTGATATGCACTCCACATTATTACACAATGGCTACGCATCTTATTCGATAAAATTATCTTTGAAACCCCTTTCCTGATTTTTCGTGATTTTATAATTTTGATCAATAATATTATTTAATAATAGACAAAATCGGCACGTATGTACGTAAGCATATTTCTAATCATGGTATTCAAGTTACATTCGGTTCTAGTTTACTAGAGTTACTAAAGTTACTAAAATTACTAAAGCTGTTTAAAGTTACTAGAATTATTACTAGCATTTATTGTATATTATTTAAACCTTAAGACGTAT